TAACTTACTGACTTCTAGTCCTAACTACAGTAATAATTAGTTTGAAGATGCTGGACAATTCATTTGGCTCTTGAGTTTCAGTTTGCTCTCTCTCAAAGGAGGGCGTTGGATCCCTACATGACCTCAGTAAGGTGCACACAGCACAAAAGTGCTAAGATTCCCCATGTGGACTAGATAATAAGGTGACCAAAATACCAGCTCCTTTATTTTAGGATGAAACATACTGCCGTTCAGGAGCGGGAGGTAAGGAAATCAAGGGCTGAATTTATACCAGCTTCTTGGAGCTAGCAAGTAGTTATCTCTCCCTGGAAAAATAGGATGTGGCTTTTACAGCACTTATATGAGTTTGCTATAACAGAGAACTGGAAATGTGTTCTTTGTAAGCTAGGCTGTTTTGATACATTTTAGATAGCTATTTACTGTTTGTTATATTTTACCTTTTTATTTTATTTTATTTTTTAGCATAATGGTAAGGGCACTGCTCTCCTAAGAGTACCTAATAAAAAGGAGTTTGTCTTCCATTATTCTGGAGCTTGAAAAAGCGTGTGGCCTATCCAGGATAGCAGTAACAAACAGTATGACATAGGTACTGACCAATCAGAATGGACTCTGGCTACAAATTACTGCTTTACCTCTACAGGTATATAGGAGCCCTGGTAGTGCAGTGGTTAAGTACTTGCCTGCTAACCAAAAGATTGAGTGGTTCAAACCCACTAGCCGCTCTGTGGGAGAAAGATGTGGCAGTCCGATTCTGCAAAATCTACAGCCTTAGAAATCCTATAGGGCAGTTCTACTCTGTCCTATAAGGTTGCTATGAGTTGGAATTGAATTGATGGTAATGTTTTCTTTCTTTCTTTCTTTTTGTACATAGCAGCTGAATATCACCCCTGAGTGTACACTGGAATGTTTACCAAAAACTCTGCTAGGCCCTTGGAACAGAGTGGAGAACAAAACAAAGTCCCTGCCATTCTGGAGCACATGTTCTAGTGGGAGAGAGAATTAATCAACAAGAAAACAGACAAAATGATTTCAGATAGCCATACATGCCTTAAAGAAAATCGAGCAAGTTAAGTGGACGGAGTGACCAAGGATGGGGGTATTTTAAAATGAGTGCTCAAGAAAATTTCTTTAAAGTTTTGATCTTTGAGCAGACACTTAGCTGATGAGAAGCCAGTCATTGGAACATTTGGGGGCAGTACATCCCAGGCCAAGGGAACAACAACAGATTCAGACTTAAGGGAAGTAGAAGCTTGGAGTGTTATCTGAAGGACTGTAGGAAGGCCAGTGTAGCAGGAGTGGATTAAGTAGGAAGTGTAGGACATCAACTCAGAGAGGCACACCAGAAGATGAGGTCATAGAGGCAAGCAGTGATCAGATTTTATAGGGTCAGATCCTAAATGCAGTGGAAAACTATTGGAGAGTTTTAAGCATAGGACAGAAACGATTAGATTTAAAGTTAAAAATCATTCTGGCTACCACATGGATTTTAGGGCAAAAGCGGGAGCATGGATAAAGTTTACAGATTACTGGGAGACTTGCTGGTATCTTGGATTGGGGAGATTATAGTGGAAGACATGTGAAATGATCATATTCAAGATATATTTAGAAGACAAGATCTCTGTGTGCCTCCTTGTGTCGGGATTCTCCTCCGAGGGCTAAAACTTGGACAGTTCTGTGTTTTATTGTTAGAAAAGACATTGTTCACTTTTATAAAGTCATTTTAAATACATCATTTATAAGCAATGACAAATTTTTAAGGTAAGATAAAAGAAGATTGGTTTCTTTTATATGTCTAATATTTATGACACTAAGACAAATTTATATTTCACCTATGATTTAATAAAATTATCATTTCTTTGTATTAAAGTTCCTAACTGTAGCCCAGATAATACAGAAGCTAAAAGTTCTTTGTGTAGCATATGTCTAGGTTGATGCACTTGAAAGGCCCTTTATACCTAAAAATGCTTAGCAAAATATATTTACTGTGTGTCTCTGCAAGAAAATGAAACAAAATAAATTCACATAATTTGTAAAAGATAGCAAATCCAAATGACTAAGAACACTTCTAAGGATGCCCCTACCAAGATCTCACTTTATATCATCTCTGTTTTCTTTTACCTCCCCTTTTGGACATTGTTCCATCTTTCTCCAGGCACACAATTACCCAAGCCAACTTTAATGATGTGAAAGACTATCAAACAGTTTGTACTTAGGAATGGGCTCTGATGGCCCTAGCTTCGCCAGTAGATAGCTACATGACATAGAGTGCACCATTTAATCTCTCTGAGAATTGGTTTTCTTATCTTTAAAATAAAAGGCCTGGGCTAAATCCTAAAATCCTTTCCAGATTTAAAGATTATCCCTCCTTTGAATTTCACACTTGGTCAGCATAACCCATCATTTACTTTAATTGCCATTTTTGTGCTTATGATTCCCACATCTGTATCTCAAGTTCAACTGTCTCTTGTGAGGTCCATTCCCTGAGAGCGAATTACCTCCTGAACATTTGTACTGAATATTGCATAGGCTCCTCAGATGCGGGGTGTCCAAAATGACTCACTAACTTTCCCCAGGAACTTGCTCCTTTCTTTGTATACTTTCTTTGTGTTGCATGTCCCTTTCCCTTTGACTGAATCTTCTACTCCACCTTTTTTTTGCCAGTAACCATCTACTTATCTTTCTAGACTCAGCTCCAGAATCACCTCCTTACATGACTTTTTTCCTGGCCCACTTCTCAGTGTAGAATTGTCTAATTCCTTTCATGCTATCCTGATTAGACTGGTATCAGTGAATGGGTGATTAACAGATATTGAATGAAGGAGTGAAAATGAACATTCTGTGATCTGAGGATTGCTAATGTCGTGATCCCACTTGGCATAAGTCCTCCTACCAATAATCTCTCCAAGACATGGAGAAGCCATTGATTCTCTTGCTTCTTATTCAGTCTCACCTGGTCACCAACTTATAAGACTCATATAAATCCCTATCTCCATTTGTTAGTACACATCCTTCTGCCATGGGAATTCTTGTCGTTTTCACATATATCGTGTCTCGCAGACTGCAGTGACCACATTTCTTATCCTTCCCAGAGGTGGAGGGTACAACAATGATGTCTAGTCAGTTTTTAGTAATAATGTTCATTCCTTGAGCCCCACATTTGACTTAGTTCTCCCTTTCCTTTTATTTTAGCAAACAACCGAAGCTTTCTTCAGCATAGAAATTTATATATAAACTAATTTCATCATGAGCAATTAACAAATGCACTTCCAGCTCCTCAAAATGTTAATGAAATTTGGAACTGATGCTTAGCTCTCTTTCAGTAAATATACTTGGGTAAATAAGCTGTCAGACTTGCGTGGCTAAATTTTTCTCAGCATCATCCCAAAATACCTCCTACTCCTTGACCAGGCTGGGAAAAATTCACCAAGGTGATTTATTTTAGCAGGGTCAAGAAACCATCTTTGTTATGTGTTATGGGTTGAATTGTATTCCCTCCAAAATGTGTGTCACCATGGGTAAGCTGTGACTCCCAGTACTGTGTGGTTGTCCTCCATTTCGTGGTCTGATGTAATTAGCTATGTGTTGTAAATTCTAACCTCTGTGGTATTAATGGGAGCCCTTGTGGCACAGTGGTTAAGAGCTTGGCTGTGAACCAAAAGGTCAGCAGTTCAAATCCACCAGCCACTCTTTCGAAACCCTATGGGGCAGTTCTACTCTACCCTATAGGGTGGCTATGAATCGATCAGAACTCGCTCAATGGCAATAGTCTTTTTTTTTTTTATAATGATGTTAATGAGGCAGGATTAGAGGCAGTTATATTAATGAGGCAGGACACAATCTATGGGATTAGGTTGTATCTTAAGTCAGTCTCTTTTGAGATATAAAAGAGAGAAGAAGGACCTCATGCCACCAAGAAAGAAGCTTCAGGAGCGGTGCGTGTCCTTTGGACCTGGAATCCCTGTGCTAAAAAGCTCCTAGACCAGGGGAAGATTGATGACAAAGACCTTCCCCCAGAGCTGACAGAGAGAGAAAGCCTTCCCCTGGAGCTGGCACTCTGAATTCAGAAGTCTAGCCTCCTAGACTGTGAGAGAACACATTTCTGTTTGTTAAAGCCATCCACTTGTGGTATTTCTGTTATAGCAGCACTAGATAACATGTAAAAATGGTAGAATCAGATTTCCTTCCCAGTAGGTTTTTTAAACTTACTGATGCTAGAGTAATTAACATGGACAACACATATAAATTGGAGAGAAATTTGTCCTTTAAAAGAAGTTTCTCTCCCTGAGATCCGTTGCTGTCACAAATCCTTTATGGCTTCTCTCAGATAACATTCTCAAGTCTGTCCCTTACCTTCTTTCCTTCAGTGAGTAGTACTTTGACATTCCCGCAGTCATTCTCCTCACCTTGCCGTTCTTCCTGACGTTTCTTACTAGAGTCAGTAACAGACTTTTGTCAGTTAATTTATTATTGAAAAGATCACTAGGATGTGGACTAGCTCAGCAGGCAGGATTGGGCATGATGCAGAACCTGGTTCAAACCAAATGAACATCAATAATGATAGAATTACTATTACTCTTTTTAAAGCACTTATTAAGTGCCAGTTACAAATACATAAATAATTCTCATTTGCTCTTCAAAAGAACCCGGTAATTTAAGCATTCCATACCAACCTCTACAGATGAAGAAGTGAAGGCTTGGGCAGGTTAAGTAGATTCCCTGAAGTCACCCAGCCAGTAGGAGGCTGAGTTAAAATTTGAACTTCTATTTGCCCGTTTTCCATTCTGCCAGTGCTTCCAGGCAATGTGGCTGTCTGTGTCTTGAATTGTAAGGGTTCTTGAGGAGAGGTGCATGAGTGAAACGGTGATCTTTTCACTAGGAAGGTAGCCCCTGTTCCTGTTGTCCCTTAGTAGGAAGAAGATTCAGATGGTTGAAACGTTGAAACCCTGCGTTGAACTCAGTGAGGTTTGACTGACTCGCATGGATGTTTCTTTGCCTTCTAGGAAGATTTCCAACCGGCCGCAGCCTCAGAGACTAACTGGGAGTCAGTCACAAGCTCCATCTCAGTAAGTAATTTATTACTCTGTTACCTGTGGGGGAAAAAACATGATGGAATAGATAAAGTTAACCCTAGTATTACTTCAGCTGCATTAAGGACCTATGGCTTGGCCAAAAGCCAGATTTCAAACAAGATGTTTTCATCCATTTCATTCAGGTTACAGTGGTTATGTCAGAATGCCCTTTTTTCCTCTTTCAGAATGGTTTCCAGGAAATGCCAGTAGTCACTGTAAGAACACAGGGATAGCCACTGCCTTAAGTAATTGTTCATTTCAAAGCACAACCTTCCAACTAAAGGACTGTCCAGACGTATCAGACATGTCCAACTGGTCCATGGCCCAGACTCAAGTGGAAAATTTTGAAATAATTTTTGAATATGCCAGAGGAAGCTGTTAACTTTTGCATTTTCAAGGATCTTTTCAGGCTTGAAAAATCCCAGTGTTTATAGTAAAATAAATTAAGTACGTATCAAGCATGTATTCTATTTGACTTGGAAATAAAACATAACACCCTGAAGCTGTAAAATGGTTCATGCCCCATTTTTCTTTCAAAATGTAACCATTTCTCAGTATTCTGTCTCCTTATCTACTGTGCACGAAAGACAGACCTTGTTTTCCCCAACTCTACGTGTAGCACTTGTGTAGCAATAAAATGGAAAATAATAAGGGCATTTGTTCATAAAAAGGTCAAGAGCATGGAGAAAGGCTGTCCATGGTTCTAAAGTGTGTCTGGATGGCTGAGTCACAGTTGACCTTTTTTCCCCCTAAAGTTATGTGCTATATTTGACTCGTTAGGGGGATTTAAAAAAAAATCCCTTCCCATGGCAGGATTTCCTCCGCGATAGAATCTGTGATTATATTTAATTTGTTTGCTCTGGCTGCTAGAATAAAAGGGCATCATCTAAACAATTGGTCAATGAGAGCTCTTCCGGTGATATTGAGAGTGTTTTATTTGTTTACTTTTTGACAGTCTGGAATGCATGCTGTGAACCTAGCTAAGTATATTGTTAGCTGATGTCGAGTCCGCCCCTGACTCATGGTGACCCCATGCACAACAGAATAAAACACTGCTCAGTCTTGCACCATTCCAATGATGGGATATGGATCAGACCATTGTGATCCATAGGGTTTTCAATGGCTGATTTTCAGAAATAGATCACCAGGCCTTTCTTCCTAATCCATCTTCATCTAGAAACTCTGCTGAAACCTGTTCAGCATCATAGCAACACACAGGCGTCCACTGACAGACAGGTGTTGGCTGCGTATGAGATGATTGGCTGGGAATCAAACCCGAGTCTCCCATATGGGAGGTGAGAATCTGTCTTAGTTATCTAGTACTGCTATAACAGAAATACCACAAGTGGATGGCTTTAACAAACAGACATTTAGAAACCAGAAGTTCGAATTCTGGGTGCCAGCTCCAGGGGAAGTCTTTCTCTCTCTGTCGGCTCTGGGGGAAGGTCCTTGTCATCAATTTTCCCCTGGTCTAGGAGCTTTTCAGCACAGGGACCCCGGGTCTAAAGGGCATACTTTGCAACTAGCTCTTCTTTCTTGGTGGCATGAGGTCCCTCTGCTCTCTGCTTGCTTCTCTCTTTTCTATCTCAAAAGCAATTGACTCAGAAAACAACCTAATCTTGTAGATTGAGTACTGCCTCATTAACATAACTGCTTGTAATCCTGCCTCACTAACATCATGGAAGTGGGATTTACAACATACAGGAAAATCACATCAGATGACAAAATGGTGGACAATCACACAATACTGGGAATCATGGCCTAGTCAAGTTGACACACATTTTTGGGGGACACAATTCAGTCCATAACAGAATTCTACCACTGAATCACCACTGCCCCCATTATCAGGCTGGTGAAAATTAACATAAAGGAGGTAATATTTCAGAGCTGTGTAGACTAGGCAGTAGGCTTGGGAAGTTGGGCAGCCCTGGAAAAGTAGACTCCAGCCACAGCTTTTGCAACCAGGACCTAGTGTGCTATTCTGTCAAGGAGTCCTCCACTTCTCAAGCATCTTGTACATAATAGCTCAGGATAGTCTAATCATTCCTGCCCTAAGAGTAGAAATTACTAGCCTTAAAGGACCCTTAGACAATTAAGGCTAATCTGGTTCCTGTAAAAGAGATGGATTGTCCCACTTTGAGTATCTGAGAAGCTGAGCCCTGGGGTCCATATCTACTGGAAACTCTTCTGGGTTGAGTTCCAAGTCAAGGCAGTGCTTAATCCTCTGAAAAGACCAGGGAGATCCCACTTATTTCCTCAAATTCTGTTTTTCCAGAACCTTGTGGGATGGGAGCAAGGGTCCTTGGGCCTACTATTAACTTCTGTAAAAATCATACATTTTGTTTTTGCTGAAAGCAGTTTACAGTTTTCAAAGTACCTTTTACACATGGTTATTATTTTAAAGAAATTCCATTAACTTTAAAATTTATTTTTGCAAATGTATAACAAAAACTGAATGAGGTCAAATTTATGGGGTAGTTGAAAGAGGCGTGCCCAATTAGTTCTTTCTCCCAAAAACAACTTGAAAATATTTATCTCAGAAACAAAAATGTTCTTGGGGGTTTATTAGGTCACCTAATCCCTCATAAATATTTTCTCAACTGTCACTGTTGTTTCTGTCAACCACCTGAGTCCAAACTTGAAGTATCAGTAAAGCTCATATATAAGGACAGTTTTACATTTTATCTATGGTTTGGATTTTCCTTTCAGCCTGTTAAATCATATTTTTCCCTCCTCTCAGGGAGTGAGGGCCCCTCTACCGCATTTTCTTGAGGATAGATCTGGGCACATGCTACCATCTAGGCACTTTTAGGAGCAACCCCCTAAAAAAAGCTCCTTGCAACCGCTTTCCACAGAACACCTGCAAAAAGCTGCTGCTTGTGTGGGACCGGCTTGACTGATGTCTCGCTTTTATTTAAAACAAACAAACAGGGAAACATTTTAATTTCAAAGCTTTTATATGCTGCTATGCGCTTAACTTTTTTTGGATGTGAGACCCGGGCTACTGTGATACAAAGCTAATTGTAAACCATCTGGTGAATAGGAGCCAGGTAGACTGACTGTAGATTTGGCACAGTCTCGTTCTGTTAGACATAAGGTCCCCATGAGGTGGAGCCGACTCAATGGCAACTAACTACAACAAGGACTTGAGATTATCTGGACAACACAAGTTGAATTTGGAATGTTTGGACTTAATTACAGGTATTGTTCACCTCTAGCATGTGATGCTAAGAGAGATCTGAAAGAAAGAAATGAGGGACTTCAGTTACCACCACCCACCACAACACACACAGGACATAGATTAAAGAGCTGGCCTGAGGCATTCACCAGTCTATCCCACGCCTCCTCCTACCCTTTTCTTGCCCCTACTCCCTATTCCCTACAGAGCATTTTTGAAGGTGCTCCCAAGTTATATCACTGCACCCATGGTAAAAGCCAGTTGCTGTTGAGTCGATTCTGACTCACGGCAACCCCATGTGTGTCAGAGTAGAACTTGTGTTTCATAGGGTTTTCAGTGGCTGATTTTTTGGAAGTAGATGTCCAGGCCTTTCTTCTGAGGTACCCCTGGGTGGACTCAAACCTCCAACCTTTTGCATCGCAGCCAAGCCCATTAACTGCACCACCTAGGGACTCCACCCCAATGGTAGGTTAATACTTTTGTACTCCTTAAAAAAAACCAAATCAAGCCCATTGCCATGGAGTCGATTCCAATTCATAGTGACCCTATAGGACAGAGTAGAACTGCCCCATGTGGTTTCCAAGGAGCTTCTAGTAGATTCAAACTGCCTCAACTTTTGCTAAAAAGGGTCTTTCTACTGAGAGCAGTGGTCATTGAATTGCTTACCTACCTTTAGACCTTGACTGGTTAAAGAGAGAAAACATTGACTGTGAGTGACACTGTCCGTAAGTGTGATCTTTGCTGTCTGCAACTCTTTAGCACATATTATTTCTCAATAGGATACTGCAGTTAAGTTTCAGGGAAGCAAGTTTTCATTAATTTTCATTTTCCCTTAGTGATAGGAGATATTTGCCCCTGGGGGATCTTATTTGTTTGGCAATTTCTTTAAAGACATTTAGAAATCATTTGAGGCTGTGTGTTCTCTATTTCCTTGTTAATGGTTCATGAATTTTTACAGAGATGTTTGAATCATGGCTCATTTACCTCTAGATTGTACAAGGGTTAGTGAAGTAAGTGCTTAGAAACCTATGTGGGTGTGTACCACAGCTAAATACACAATCTCTTGCAGGCTTTCCATGATGTTTTGTTTCTCATTTAAAGAGTATTCTTTAAAATGTTTTAATGGCAGCTGGGAATCACTAGCAAGCTACAACACCTTTTTTTTTTTTTTTGGTCATGTTTCCCATGTGAATCTTTCATTCTTAAGAGAGCCAGTTTCATGGCTAATTATCATTGTTGACAGTAAATAAGCTGGTTAGAGTGCCAAATTTTATCAAGATGTCCCCAGAGTAGATTCCAGCACTGCTTACACCACACCTGCCATGCTAGGTGACCTGTAAGGGGCGGGGGTGACAGGGAGTGGAGACCAAATGCAGCAGAATGGGAGGAATTATGCAAAACTTGCATGGAAGGACTTCAGAATTTAGATTACCATTATATAGATATGGATGACTCAGGACTTTGGACCAAGAAATTGGATGACTTAATGTTGCTATTTTCACTAGCCTGTATCTTTTTTAGTGATTACAATTCAGATAAACTGGAAGACTTATGATCTGCTTAGATTTGATTTACAAAAGAGTGATTAGTATCTTTTAACGATTAATTGCTTTTACTAAGGAATATGGCGAGCCTATGGCAGAGTACTTTTGTGCAGTCTTTAGAAAAGTGATGTCTTATAATTAGCAGTCTGTGTATGTTCCTTCCATATACTTGTCTGACTGTTGTCTTTAATAGCAATGGACTTATTCTGAGTACACTGAGCTGTATGTCACTCTTAGGGGGTATCCTATCACTCTCAATCAGTAACGGATCCCACTCTCACTGCGGATGCTCTGGACAAAACAGTTGCAGAATTTGATACTGTGGAGGATCTCCTCAAGCACTTCAATCCAGAATCATGGCAAGAAGATCTTGAGAATCTGTATTTGGACACCCCTCATTATCGAGGCAGGTCCTACCATGACAGAAAGTCAAAAGGTAAGAAACAGGGGCTTGAGGGTCCTTTGTAAGTAATTGCTGTATTAGGTGTCGTCAAGTCAATTCCGACTCATAGCAACCCCATGTGACGAGAAGAACTGCCCCATAGGGTTTTCTAGGCTGTAATCTTTATGGGAAGAGTTTGCCAGGTCTTTCTCCCATAGAGCCACTGGGTGGGTTCAAACCACCAGTCTTTCACTTAGCAGCTGAAACCATTACAAACTAGGAGTGTTAATAGTGATAATAAGTAAGGACTAACAACACAATATATTTAATTCACATAAATCAGATGATTACTGCCAGTCCATTATCATGTATAGTTTTCACGGCACCTCAGATGAAGTTCTGGGTTTTACCCAAATCATGTTGTTTGTATAAAACTAAGAAAGGTTTGTTTCAGTCGAAGATGTGTCATATTTTGGAGCTAGAAGCTTCGTGCTTCCAGGAAAATAAAGCATTGCTAGCCCCAGTTTCACTGTGGAGACAACCGGAGTCACGGGAGGTAAAGGATTTGCCAAAGACTTCCTGGCTCGTTAGCAGTGGAGAGGAAATGAAAAGTGGTCTCTTGCCTCCAGTGGCAGCACTTATGCAACAAAAAAACAAAAAACTACTGTGCCTCCCTGATAGATAAGAAGGTTGATTTAGCCCATGACTTAGTCAGTGTTGGCAGGAGAGAGTCATGTTGAAGCAATGATCAAAATCCTGTTCACAGATTTCAGCTCCACCCATTCAGTGTCCATTCTACAAATCCTTTATAAAGACTTATTATGTGCTTGGTGGAGTCCCTGGGTGGTGCAAATGGTTAATGTGCTTAGCTGCTAACTGAAAGGTTGGCGATTCAAATGTACCCAGAGGTGCCTCGGAAGAAAGGCCTGGCGATCTACTTCCAAAAAATAAAGCCTTTGGAAATCCTATAGAGCACAGTTCTACTCTGACACATATGGGGTTGCCACGAGTCAGAATTGACTCTATGGCAACTAATTTTATGTGCTAGATGCCCTGGGTAGTTTCGAGAATATAAAAGTCCCAAGGGAGAGGTAACAAAAAAGTCTGGGATAACTTCAAGCACACATTCAATTGGAAGTTTCAGGGAAGTATAATGAGGTTAGAAGAGAGAGGACCATTCAGGCAGAGAGAGCATTATGAGTTAAAATTATAAGGCACTCTTAGCAATAAATATCTTAATTATATACCTGAGTGATATGATCTTAGGATGAGAGTGTTCATTTGAATGTTTAACTCAAACTAATAGAGAAATAACATGTAATCACCTCTTAAGGAATAAAACTATAATGTCTAGTCTGTTATGTCCTTACTTTATTTGCTAAGGTTTGTTATCATTAAAATGGTCTCTAAAAAATGTCTTGTAAGGCTTATTTGCATCATAGATGTGGAGGTATTTAGCTAAAATACAGCTTGTTTCCTACACTTTGTAATATTGAGGGTACTTTTAAGAACTGCACACTGGGCCTCATTAGCAGATAATGTTTGTGTCGTTAAGCACGACTGATTAGAACATTTGGGCCAAAATGACTAATTAGTTAACTCCTGCCTGGCCCTTCTGCTTATGGCTCAGGTCATAAATCTTATATATTTAAAGTGCACAGCTAAGAGGATACTCTATGTACTGATCATTGGGGTTCTCAAACTGAACCTTCCCAGGGCTCAGATTGGACTCAACACGAAGAAGAAACCACTTTTCTGTAAGATGTTACCAACGTTGGTCAGTTTTGAAGGAAAATAAAATATTCACGTTTTCAAAATCCCCCCAAATATTAACAATGGTATTGAATAAACAAGCAACAAAGTCTGACTATGTCTTCCAGCATATTAACCACTATAGTTATTTGAGGGCCAGCCCTCCTTGGCACTTATTTAAAACTCACCTAAGTCCATTACTTCATTTTTTTTTTTTTTCTTTCTGGAAATTATGTTTCACTGGAGTCAGGGGACCTGGATTCAAATCCCAACCCTGCCACTTACAAGCTTCATGATTGTTTAGCAAGTCACTGACCCTTCCTGAGCCCCAGTTTTCCTCATCTGCAAAATGTGTATAATAACAGCGATGTCAGGGAATTGTTGGGGGATCAACCAAGAGCATCTGGCACATAGTACTTGTTCAAGAAATGTAGCTAGCTATAGTTAGTTGCTGTCAAGTCCGTTCCAACTCATAGTGACCCATGTGATAGAGTAGAACTGCTCCATAGGGCTTCCTAGGCTGTAGTCTTTATGGGAACAGATCACCAGGTCTATCTCCTAAGGAACCACTGGGTGGGTTCCAACTTCCAACCTTTCGGTTAGCAGCGGAGTCCTTAACCGATGCACCACCAGGGCTACTGTAACTAGCTAAAGCTACTTTGAATCCTGAACTATGTTTTGTAGCACTTCTTCGGTGAAGACTTTCTTGTCTTCTTCCCTGGGATGCCCAACACCCCAGGCAGAGTTAGGAGTCTTTGGGTCCCTGCAGCACCTTGTCTATCCTATCACTACATTATTATTGTGTCTTTGTGTTTTCTCTTAGATAATATGAGATTCTAGAACCTCTATGGATCTCCACCCCAGCTGAATATTAGAATCACATGGGGAGCTTTAAAAAATGCAGATGCTTAGGTCTCACCACAGCCAAACTGACTCAGAATCTCCAGGGATGGGGCTGGGATACTGGTGTTTTTTCCTGGCTCCAGCTCCTAGAAGATCAATCCTAAGAGGCAGCCAGGATTGAGAGCCACTGGTTCACAGGTTGTTCATCTTATATCTCTAGCACTTGGCATGGTCTCTGACACATTGTAGATGCTCAATTAATGTTTGTGGAATTGAAAACAATAACTCAGCATTAGTATATTTCTAAAGTTTACGGAAAACCCTCCCCTAGACTTAGGTGAATAGCTCCATTAAGAATGCCTCCAGTTACTGAAATAACCTCGCAAGAGCAATCGAGGTGACAGGCTACTTAGTTGTGACAGACTAAACATCATCCCTCCCTCCTGTTGGCTTAAGTTCCATTTCTTAATCTCTTGTTTAAAATAGCCTTAAGGCAGATTTGTACCATTTCATTTAACCCTGGCAGGTCACCACTGTCCCTGCACTTGTATAAATGTGCTGATTTAATTATTTATCATGCCATGCATGCTAAGCCACCTGCATGTATCACAAAGGCAAGGGAAGCCAGGTTTAATATTTCAGCTGTTGTTTTCTGTTTTTGGAACTTAAAAATACAAATCTATGCTTGTCTCCTGATGTTTGAGGAAGGGCACAATGAAAAAGAATGGACAAAGGGAAATAGCTATGCGTAATGGGAGTCCACTAGGTGTCAAATATAATATGAACTTTAGAGGATCTCTAAAAAAGTTTCCTACTATCAGGATAATAATTTCTTAATGATGTGGTACAGAATTATGCTTGCTGTTTATGAGTATCTATTGAGCATCTATTCTTCTCATTTGCCAAAACTGATCAAAAGTAGCACATTTTATGGTTCCAAACAGCGGGAATCTAAGATGAACTATGAATGTGAATATATAAACACAGAGATTTATAAACTCTAAAATAAAACACAAATACACTGGGTGAAGAACTTATGTAATGAAGCAGCAGCAGTTAATATTTTGAAATTAAATTTTGTTCTGCTTCTGCTGTGTATTTGGAAGAAAAGGGGTTAGTTGACAGAGAGTTTTTATTTCTCTCCAAAAAGATAATTGAAAATGGGAAGCAAGAGAACAGTAAAAGTTTGGGCAGAAGAGAGAAAGGAAAGAGACAGGTAACATTGCCAAGTACTGAAGGCACAACTTCAATGCATAAGGTCTTTTTTTTTTTAATTCACAAGTAATAGGTAAGCTCTAACTTATCTGTAAATGCTTCTGGACTGAAGATAATATAACAAGTTAATATATCCAACTTTCAGTTTCCTAGGGGGTAATGGAGAAAAGGGTAGCATGGATCATTGAAATCTGTAGATAACTGCAATTCCAAAACTCAATTTTTGCCAAGAATTTCAACCTCATGTTTCAACCTCAAAGCTGCCCAAAAGTTTAAAAAAATAGAAAAACTGACTTCATGTTTCATTTACTTATTCTGATAGACATGCATCATAAGTGTAGAAAATTTGCCCAAAATTAGGTAAAATTATACAGATGCTCTTTAAGCTACCTGAGCACCATCTGAATCACTGCATGACCTCTGTAGCTCAACTGAAACTAGACTATGATTCATTTAAAACACAACCTATAAACTTAGGAGCAGGGTATATTGAAGTTCAGAGTATGAAAGTTGACAATTCTAAATTAAAAAATGATTGTCCTTGAACTCTACTAGACTGGACATTACATAAGAGTTGATTTATGGATATTTAACAATGTGAGATTCGTTCTTTTGCTTATTACAGGAGAACTTAACTTCCCAGAATGACAGTGTGTTTGCTGTAGAAAAACCCAGCACATAACGGCAAGGAGGGTAGCCTATTTTCACAGGTTAAGTGTTGTGATTAAACCTGTTGCTGTTGAGTCCATTCCAACTCATAGTGACCTTATAGGACAGAGCACAACTGCTCCCATAGGGTTTGCAAGGAGTGGCTGGTGGATTGGAACTGCCAACCTTTTGGTTAGCAGCTTAGCTCTTAACCAGGGCTCCACTGTGATTAAAATATGGATATAATTGTTGGGACTCTCCAAATTAAAAGCTTTGAACTAGAATTATGCTTAATAAAAATAAATTCTTCCCCAAAGAGTTGCCTTTTTAGGTGAGCATGCCGAAGTTGGCATATACTTTTCTTAAAGAAAAAAGAAAATCAGCATTTTAAAATTGAGTGGAACAAATATTATATTAAATTGATTCCAAATGATAGAGTTTGAAATATATGCTTTTTACAGACTCTAAATGGTTAGATGTTATAACTTTGGGATAGTTACTGATCTATTTCCATAGATCAAATACTAATTTTAGAATTTCCTACATGACATTGACTTCTTTATTTTATGGACTTTTTATAGGTAAATAACTGGCAT